TGTTGAAATGGTTGAATGTTGTTCGAAGAGGTTCTTGAGGATCTGGAAACCGCCATGAGTTCTTGAAGGCGATCGAAGCTTGAAATCCCATGGATTTCTGGGAGCGGATGATGAACAAGGATGAAGATCCTGAAAAAACAGATGAACATGCTTGATGGAGATCTGGGCAACACTTTGAAGTTTCTGAACACGAAGATTTAATGAAGCTCCTGGACAGATCTAAGATGAACACTGAGGATTGTTCTGGAAAAGTGATTAACAGATGAAGCTTCTGAGGAAAAATTCTTGAAACTTGTTGAACGGATGAAGACTCTTGAAGCTTGTTGGACGGATTTTCAGACGATGTTGATGATCGGAGTTCGTGATGAATATTGGAGATCAGGAAGAGCACGGTGAGTTATTGAGGTTGGATGAATGTTCATGATGGATCTTGAACGGATCTTCACGAAGAAGATGAAGATATTGAGCTTCTTGTTGAATTTTTGGAAAGTGTGTTGAACAGATAAAGCTTCTGAGGAAATCTGGCAAAGTTGATGAAGATCGATGAAGCTTTCTGATGAATACGAAGAACACACGATGAAGCTATGGCATTTTCGGCGAGCTTTCATATTCCGGCGAGCGGTTATGCAATCTGGTGAGACGTTACGGCGACAGTTACAGTTTTCCGGTGAGAAGTTACGGTGGGATTTGGTATCTCCGGCGAGGGGTCGCCGGAGTTTGCATGGCCGGCGGGAGGGACTGTGCACGAGGGTGATGTGGCAGTGGGTGAGGGTAGGTGTCACGCATGCAGGTACGGGTGGGGCATGCGTGAAACGTGTGGCAGAGAGAGAGACGAGTGGGGGGGTGATGTGTCAGGGAGAGAATGAGTGGGAAATGAGGTGGCAACCCCAGAAAAGCACGCGTGGCCTACTCTTTATAGGACACATGGCACAGACTGGACTATGGGCCTCAGAAACGTGGACATCTGGCCCACCGAGATTAATATTCTGAATTAAAACTTGACTCAAATTAATTCTGCAATTAATATGCTAATGACCAAAAACTCTATTAAATTATGATATTAAAACTAAAACTCAATTAATTGCAACTGAAACTCAATTAACTCCTAATTAATCACAACTAATTAAAATGATTAAAATCTAATTACTCTACGAATTAATTCTAAAACTATTAAACTCTAATTAACCCCACTAAAAAAATAGTAAAAGAACTATCCTATAAAAAAACCAATTAAAAAACTACTTAATATCTAGAATCAAATATCTATTTAAAACTATTAAAAAAAAGAAATATCTATTTAAAATTCTAGAAAAACTATTAAATCTAAAAATGAATTATTCTAAAAAATATAAAGTTGCTATTAAAACTCTATTAAAAGAAATAAAATCCTAGAAAAAAAATTAAAATTCAATTAAAATTCTAGAAACTAAAGGGAAAATCTAAAAATGTCAGGAAGCCAATTAAATCGATTAGAGAACAACTGCGCAACTATAGCGAAATAAGCGGTAAAAATCGGACACCGAAATGTCCTCAAAAATAACAGCGAGAGCTGAAAACACCGAGACGAGCACAAATTCTCAAAATACACTCTCGTATTCGAAATGGTATGAAACTGCCTGAAACGCTAGGGGAGGCTGTAATCCCGATAAAAATCAGTCTGACTGCAAAAATGCAATGGATGCGGTATGCGAGTGCGAATGCAGAATGCGTCGAAACATAAACCAGATGTGGGAACCGGTTGATCAAATTTTGGGGTGCAACACTTAGCAACTGTCGAACGGCGGTAATATCAAATGTTCCCTGAGGACGATAACAAACCCCGATACTTTATTCTTGTCTCTAACAATACACCACCGACCTAAGCTTACACATTAAATCTCTATAAACAAGGTTTAACCTATATGATATACAATCTATGCAATCTTGTAAATAAGAATGAATGAATGAGTGATTGCAAAGTAAAAGGATAAGGAAATTTTCCCTTAAGGATTTCATATACCATGAGTATTGATCATAAGCAATTTTTTCTTCTTCTTTGATAATAAACCTTGAGCTTTTAAAACATTGTCTTCATCAAAACTTGTTGGAAGTTTACAACTAATTCATATATTGGTGTAATTTATGAAGGGTAGAGAGGGATCCTCACCCTCCTCTAAATTTTCTCCATTATTGTGTTTTTGAAAAGTTTGATGTATGGTTATGAAAAATTGATGATGATGATTCTTGATGTGTGGCTTTATATATTAGTATGTGAAATTTGATTTTGACATTGTTATTGTTGATGTGTTGTGTTAGTACGATGAACATGAAGGTGATTTTCAGGATGCATTTTTGGTGATGTTAAATTGGTAGAATTAAATGTTAATTAGTAGGTTTAGAATGTAATAACATTAGATAATTGATATAAGATGTTATATTTTTAAAATAAGTTGTTATAACATGTAATGGTGTGTTTGGGTGGATTTTAGAAATAATTGATTTTATTGAACGTGTTGTATAACTAATACTTTTTGGAAAAAATTGCTTATGTCAATCGATTAATCCTTCTAAACTTTTGAAAAATTGAAAATATTAATCGATTAATTGAGAAAATGAATTGATTGCATCAAGTCAATATGTAAAAAATAAAAGAAATTGGATGTATAGGAAAGTGAAACTAAATAAAAAAAAAACCTATGTAGTTTTAGTCAAATATTATTATGATTATAACTTGAGATTCGTGACTCCGTTTGAGACGTGGTTCAAAACTTCGGAAAGCTAATGTGTAACATTTTTCTATAGTAATGTTTTAGGAAGCTAAATATGAATTAATGATATGAATATAATACTTTCTTTAATGCAATATTGTGAATGTGTGATTAGTTCAAGATGAATCGTTATGATGATTGATGATTAATTATGTGGAGAGTACATAATCGTTGTTTATTGTGGTGGTAGTTTCGAAGGGGGACTACATTGTTGCTATGTTGCATGTTGTTTATGGTTCAAATAGGGATCATAAACATGTGGTTATTATTGTTGCATAAATTGTATGACATGTATCATTTGTATCGTTGTTGTGAAATATGTGAGTTACAAGTCTAGAGGGTGGACAAGTAACTTGTCCCGAGTCTAGAAGGGTGGACTCAGGGTTCAGAAGGGTGAACTCAAATCATATAAAAAACTAACGTTGATTGGTACCACATGCATAGTGTCGATGTCGTGAGTCACATTGCATGCATATGTATATATTATGATGGAAAAAGTGTGAGATTCTAATGGTGTGGTTTGTGTATTGAATGTCTGATGTGTCCTGTGTTTATTTACCTTCGCATTATTTACGTTGCTTTATATCGAACTTTATTCTTACCCCTTTTGTTTTATTTTGTCCACCATAGACCTCTGGCAGACAATTAGGAATAGAGTTTCGTTGCTATAAGTGAAAGATAGCTTCTTGGAGCTTACCTTCGTTTATTTATTGTTCTATTGTATTTTAGTGGTTTAGTTCTCTAGTCTTGTAACATCATGGATGAGACGCTTTTGTTATGTTTTGAGTTGATGTCGAATTGTGGTGTAAAGTTTAATACTTTATTTGAGATATTGATTTAGAAATTGTTATTATGTTAATTTTTGTTGCATTTTAAATATTTTTGAAAATTGTGTTGGTTGGTTGTCAAAATTACAACTTAAATTATAGAGTGATACAAATGGACATGTCCGCTCCGTTTAGGTTCATTCTGCAAAAATAAGCAAAAAAACAAGGCGGGACGGACATAGTTAAAAATGTGTGCCTAAAACCTAGGTTCTTTCCGCAAAAAAGTGAGGGTGAGACGTAAAAAGCTTACAATGACTTTTTATGCTTAAGAACGCAAAAATTTATATAAATGTTCTTGTCCGCAAAAGCTCGCAAAAAAATAAAACTAGACAGGACAAGCATAATTAAGGATGGAAATGTAAACCTTTAACCTGGCCTGCACAGGTATTTCCAACGAACCAAGTCCGTTTTGCTACTCCTAATTACAATAGACACGTATACTTAGTCTAGTCATGACCGAGAAGATTGTCCCGCTTCTTCAGACATGGTATGTTAACTTAATGCCTCCTTCAGTGCTTCACCCACGTGATTAATGTTTTGAACTTATCTAGAAAATTTTATTTGCCTTGCGAGGGCCTTGATGACATGGAAAGAGAAATGGAGAGAATCTTAATCACTATTTTAAAAATTGGATTAGACTGGCCAGTCAAGCTGAAAATCTAAGAGATTATCGATTTAGTCTGATTACTTGATTGGAAAAAAAGCTATGAATGCTTGATTGGATAAGTTATTAAACTAGTGAAAACATGTCAAAATCGGTCCAAAAAAAAAACTGGCAAACTAGTAGTTTTAGAAAACCTGCTAATTATATTCTTGTTTTTTTTTTTTCTAAGACAAATGTTCACTCAATTACGTTGCAATTGTACAGGTTTGTGGCAATGCATTGTTTCTATTGTTTGTCCAGAAGTACCTGAATTCATATTTGACTTGCCAATACTTTTTGCAAAAAACCTTGAATATAGATATGGTATCATTTTCCTAGTTTCATCATGAGTAAAACAAACTTGCATTTTGTCAGCCAACCACCATTGCAGCAAGCAAATCAGTATGTGTAATTATCAACCAATGCGTTACATGGAGAAATTAGAAAGTTAAAAAGTCTGATAATTAAAATTAAAAAATACATAATCCATCTATGTACAACACTTATAGTATCTGAGGTCATTAGCCTACTCTAGAATGCAGTTTTGGCCAAACAATTGAAATAAAACAATAGAGTTAAATGATCTATATGATATGATACACCCTAAATGTGCCAAGATCTATGTTGCTTAAAGTTACAACCAACTAAGAGCTTGGCCTAAATAGGCACCTAATGTACATGTCAATGTCACAGCTCTAATTTAGTCATCAATTCCAAGTTACTAGTCTAAAACTGGTACAACAGATAATAAACCTGCAATTAGCTTATATGCAATAAGCTTAATCAATCGCTATCACTATCACTGTCCGCGTCCAGAAAGCTGAACTCTCTCCATCCGTTGAGTTTGATCAACACAGTTCCTCGGTTCTCTTCACTCCATTCAATTGACTCTTCATCTAAAAGTTTAGTAACCTGCATCAAGCAAATCATAAGAATAGGCATTTCGAAACAATTTTGTTCCCTTCGAAGAGACATAGTTATCGAGATTTGTATAGAAGGGGTGGATTAAACCGTACCGATTGTTTCAGCTTGGACTTTCCAAAACCGTGTGATCCACATCCTGTGATGACCCTTATCATCTGAACAGCTAAAGTAGAAATAAAAAGACAGTCAGGTAAGTAAGAAAATGAAAACTCGGTTCAATAAGCAATGTCATTTTAAGTCCTAAAACAATGTAAAAAGCTAGATCCTTAGGAAAATGCTTACAAGGAACATATGATCCAAACAGAAGGTGGAGTTTCAGCATTCTCATTGCTGGTTTCACGTGCTGCCCGTGCAAATCAATAGTTATCACATTTTCTATACCCTTGTTTCTGCATAAGGCTCACAATAGGTTAAAACAAGCAATAAGACAAAATGCATAAGGAGAACGTGAAAATGGAAGTTCTACGAATTTTGTTCTTCATTCCTATTTTGGAGAATCTTCACGAAAAAAGAATAAAATTTCACGCTAAAGAAAATGACTGACCTAGCAACAAATATGTCATGGCTTGCCTTAGTGTCTGCTTTCTGAGCTACTTTAGTTTGTTCTTTACCCTAACCACGCATAGAAATAGTTAGTACTATCTAGAAGTTTATACTATTAAACAATGGACCTTAAAAAGCAATATATAGAGGAATTGAGAAGGCATTGGTTTTAAAAGATAGTTATTATAAACAGCCATCCAAACGATTCGGTGCATAATAACGTATCACATTTTTGAAAGACAAAATAATGAACCTGATCAGAAAGATATGCGGCATATCCTCGATCTCCATTAGTATATGCTGTTGCAGCCTGCAAAATCATGTCAACTCTATCATATACTTAAATGACATCTGCACTCCAAATCAAACTGGCTTAGAGAAGAGATAGTTAAAATCAAAGGAAAAGTCAAAATATGCACTTACTTTCTGAAAGTAACATTTCACAGAATCCCACTGCTGTCTTGCACCTTCCCTAAATGCATGATATTCCTCTCCTTTAGCTATGAACCAGAAAAATAAAATAAGTGAATGGATAGTTCATTTTCAATTTGATAACATCAACGAAATCATCAGTCCAAAAATACTCAAAAAAATGTATGAAGCACTAACACCTCTAGGAGGAGTAGGCGTATCGCGGTGTCTGACATGTGTCGGTTTTCAACACTTGTATGACACCCGTACCGCACGTGTCGGAAAAGTCAGCAAGTGTTCCTAAAAAATAGTTTTTTCCTTTGCTTCAACACTCTCTAAATCGGTTCCGACCTATATGACCCTCATACAACACGTGTTGGATAATTTAGACAAGTGTTTCAAAAAATATTGATCTTTTCTTTACTTCACAACACACCTTATACATTTTTGGACAAATCTAATTAAACATGTATTGAAGTAATGTTGTCAATGAAAAACTATAGATGACATTTAACTTTGATTAGAATATTTTTAACTCTTTAAAATAATTGATAGATAAATGGAAGTAAAATACTATCATATATGTAGCGGTGTTGGTGTCATGTGTTTTTGACATTATCCGTGTCAGTGTGCCTGTGTCGTATTGTGTCTCGGTATCCGTGTAAGAGTCCGTGCTTCATAGGTGAAAATTGAAGCAAATGCACTGTTATGATTTTTGACAAAAAACTTTAATAGATAAATACAAATAACTGAATACTATTTAAGAAGAGTGAGTGGATGCAAGCAAAAGTATATCGAAATTGCCATACTGTGAGCACGCTGCTGAGGTTCTGCAACATTTGGACAAGTAACAAAACCAGGTCCCATAGACTGCATTTTCTTTGCTATGTTTCTCCAATTCATGGTACCTTTATCGTGTTCGGAGCTTTTTGGGATGTTAAACAAGGACTCTAACACCTTTTGAGGAAGTTCAAACTTTGTACATCCTGGGCTAATATGAGAATTAGCTTTAGAACTAGTGAGGACCTCCGCATAATTCCTAAAACCAATAAACAACTAAGCTAGTGGAGTTAAGTTCCATATACGACAAGACCCTTGATTAGGAGGAAGTTGAGATTCACATACAAGATGGTATAAATGAGGGCGACAAGATCCCTATTAAATCATTTATCAAAATTGTTTTTGTTTGTAGGAAGAAAGTGGCAAGAAGGAATGAAAAATGTGAAGACAGCCATAATGTATCAACAACACTGCTATGGCAAAATAACATATACATGAATATATTGACATAATTGACCTGCCATAAGGTGTCGGACCCCATATATTATCAGAAAAGTCACCTTCCGATGAAAGAGATGAAAGAGACATGCACTCTGATCTCCTATCTATCATCTGCGCCAAAATTTTACAATTAACATTATTTACTATAAGGATATAAGGATGCGGATAATGTAGATGTTAAAACTACATCCAATGATGAAAATCCAAATTTAACAGTCGTGCAAGCGCAGTAATTTAAGTACCTGGCCAACTATTTCAGAAGATAACAAATAATCCATTAAATGTTAAAACCAGAGAAAGTTTAGAAGTTGTAGTGAAAAAGAAAGTCTATACCACCACTTACACTGTCATTAGGATCATAGTCAACAAGGAATCTCGTATCATCCATGTTGTTGCCTACTTTGAAATTAGAATTTCTATTATTACTGGATCTCTTGTTGGCAGCTAGGTCAAGCAATATATCCAAGGCCTGGAAAATCATAATCATAGCTATTTAGATTACAAAAGTAGAACAACTTGAGTTGATCAGTGTAGCATTCTAAAACACATGTAGAGATGCAAAATACACTAAAAAGCCCCAATACATGGTACGATACGACAGAGATACAAGGATACAAAAACTTTTATAAATCTAACGTCACAAGCAAAATATGTTCATCTGCATATGTATAAACCACAAAGTACTGAGGAATAAAACTTAAACAGAGAAGAACATAACAGAACTGAAAGAACAAAATGATTATTTGTAAGCAAGAACATAACAGAATGAAAAACAAAACAATACACTTAAAAAAGTTTGAATTGACATATATACCCTTAAAAAAGACCGCTTTAAAAAAAGGATTTGAGGAATTTCGCCCCAAAACCCTAATGCCAGACGCGACAGCAGTTTAGGGCCGCAACAACCACTATTGCTGACGGCAACTTGCAGACCAAAAGTGTCGCGCTGAACCCTACCACCACTACACTTGGGCAGCACTATTGGCAACATATCGGTAAATAATGAGCAACAGTTGCCAAACTCTGCCACTCAGAACTCTGCAGCTCTACAACCACAGTAACTCCACAGATAGGGAGAGTGAGAGCTAAAAGGGAGCTTAGGCAATCAAATAAGATCACGGGAATGCAGAAAATGTGTGAACCAGAACAATTAAGAACCTCAAGTAAATTCATGGGAAGTGTAATTTCAGACTGCAATATACCTTTTCAACATCATATCCACATTGACCTGCATACAAAGATAAACATTTAATTCCAAGGTCAGACAATAAACCAAAAAACGTATTCCCAAAACAAATAATATAACTAAAAACACCATGAACTAGTATAAATACACAATTGAGTAAAAATAATACGATAGAAAATTAAGGAAAAGAAGAATAAGTTTCTAGTTCCATATAAAACCAAAACAACAACAATACAAGTTTTTTTTTTCAACTAAGCGGAATGGACTACATAAATCAAATATGGTCCCATCATGAATCAGATCTAATAATAGACCATTAAAATCCATATTCTGAACATTTGGAGGCATGGTTTTCTTTGATCTCCCTCTATCTCTACCAATCTCTAATCTCCTTCTATTATATGACTCAAAACTTGGATTTGAAACTTTGAACTCAAAAGACCTATAAAGTACGGACTCAGACACGGACACAAACACCGACACGTGGACACCGATAATAATTTTAAAAAATTGAATAAATTCAACGTAATCACAAGTGTCGGTATCCAGCACCGACCCAGACACGCCTTTTTTCATAAGTGTCGGTGCTACAGAGCAAAAGACAATACATCAAACAGTTGATCTACAAATGTAATAACGGTTTTGAAACATGAAAGAGAAACATAACTGAAAACATAATAAATAAACTAAAACTTTTCTAAAACCACTAGTAATTCATTTTCTACTTTTCTATAGCAAACAAAACTAAATCCTGCAAAAGAACAAAACACATAACAAAAAAAGTCAATTACTCACAAAGAACATCTCTAACAACAGCCAAATTAAGATCACAATCATTCCCAAGCATGGAATAAAGGAACTGCTCAGCCTCTTCCTTATCAACAACCTCATTCCCAATCCTCTTCTTCCTACCACTATTCCTCCTCACATATTCGTTTCCCAAAATTGTCGAAACAGTTCCCGTAGCAGCAACAATCTTCTTCTGCTTCTGCTTCTGCTGAACCCCTTCAAACCCAACCACATCCTCCCTACAAATCTGCTCCAAAAACCCATCCGAAGAACCCGAAGTCGAACCCACATCCAACCCAGAAGAAACCCCATTACCATTACTACCACCACTACACGAAGAAGAAGAATAAGAAGACGAAAAAAACGGGTCTTCAATACTGTCCACCAAACCTCTCCTTAAGATCTCCGAAGCCTTGTTTGAATCACCGTTTGCAACGTCGTAAGCAACAACCGCTTCTTCGATGGAAGATAAAGAGAAAGCTTCAACCAACGATTCTAGAACTCGTTGTTTGGGTTCTTTGTTCTCTTCAACCTTCTTCGGTGGTTTTTGCTTCTTCTTTTTTCTGGAGTTTTTCATCTTTGAAAAAAAAAATAACAGAATCCTTCCGAGAGAAAAAGGGTTGAAGATTGATTCTGAGTTTGAAAGATGGGATTTTGGAGAAGGAATCGTGGGTGTTGTTGAAGAAGGAATAATAATATCGATGATAATATAAGATTATTTTATCTATAAAAACTGAAAAAGAACGTGTATTTCGATTTAGATTTTAAATTAGTTTTTGTTTGTTTTTTTAGTAATCTGAATAAGTTATACCGACACATGAACAGTCAAAAGAAAATTTGTGTGGATAATCCGATTTATTATTTTTTATACTTTAATTTAATTATTTCAAAAAGTTGTTGAATATATAGGATTGAAAAGTTGTGTCTAAATCCAATGTAAAGAGAATTTTAAGAAATTATGAGATTTGAGAATTTGTTGAAAACGTTGAAGATAGACATGAGTATTTGTTTACACGTCAGTTAAAATTAATTAATTTATATATAGATGAAAATTTCAGTATCATTGAATTTAATTAAATAGATATTCATCTTAGAGTATATTATTTTATTTTAAAATAAATTTAAATTTAAATTGATTAAAAATCATATATTAAATAACTTTTTTTTTACTATTGATATTCGACTTTACAATTGATTAATTTAAAAAGTTCAATTTTATCTTTTACAGACAAAAATCTTATTTAAAACTAAATATATGAATTGATTTAACATTAAAATTATTAATATTTAACCAAATTAAAAATAAAAAAAAACACTCCCAAAATTGAATATTCCTATCATTTATCCCATATAAATTGTTAACTTAAATTCTTTTTTAACCTAAGTTAATTATAATTATAATTATTTTTAAAAGTCAGACTTTTAAAAATATATATAAACTATTAAAATTTGTTATAAAAATAGAGAAAATAGAGTGACATTAGTAATTTTTAACCCGTAAATAGGGCTGGCAATGAACCAAACCAACTCGAAGATAGTTCGGAATTCGACTCGACAATTAAATCGTTGAGTTAGGTTCATGAACCAAATGAGTTGAGTATGAGCGAAAAATTAAGTTCGTTAACTAAATGAGCTGAACTTGAACTATACATAGTTCGACTCGTTAGGTTCATGAGTCAACTCGATTACATATGAAAAGAATTATACTGTCTTTAAGATTAGGTTTAAATATTTACTTCAAATCTTAGACAAATTTAATCTTCAATTTATTAGTTTTTGAATTAGACTCTCAAATGTATCTCTTGAAAGTTGTGTAGGTTTTGAATTAGTAGATTTCGAAGATAAAGTTAAATTTCAATATGATAACTTTTATTTTATTTTAATATTTTATTTAAAATATATTTATTTATTTAAAATGTCAAATATACTAATATATATATATATATATATATATATATATATATATATATATATATATATATATATATATATATATATATATATATATATATATATATATATATATATATATATATATATTAAAAAAATAGTTTTTAAGTTCGTGAACCATGTGAGCTGAACCTAATGAGATGAACCTAACGAGTCGAACCGAAATGTTCGTGAACTTATAACGAGTCGAGTTTGAGCTTAAAAAAAAGTTCGTGTAGAACTCGAACTCGAACTCGAATTCGAACAATTCTTAACGAGTCGAGCCGAGCTGAGGTTAGTTCGACTCGACTCGACTCATTTCCAGCCTTACCCGTAAATTAAAATAATTTAATTTATATATTGTCAATTTAAATTTTTTTACAATTAAGTCAAGTCTAATTGTTAAATAATAAAATATTTAATTTTAGTTATAATTACTTTCAGAATTGCTTATATGGATAGTTCTAATTTATTGAAGATAATAAGAAATATTTTATCTTAATTATAATAGTTCTAATTATAATTTAAAATAGTTTGCGTTTTTTAAGGAATTTAAAATAGTTTGTTTTGGATATGGTTTTATGAAGATATTAAAATCTATAATAATCAAATCTAGAATATTAGATTTGACAAAAACATCTTTCTCTTTTATTTGGTGACAAAAACATATCTTTCACTTAATTACTTTTATATCGTCACTTTATACTTTGGAATTGATCAACCCACTTTTCTCGATAATAAAGAAAACTTGTACTTAATAAAGAAAACTTGTACATTTTTCTTTCTTTTTACTAAACTTTAGATAATTAGGTTTATGTCCGTTATTTAACAAATTTTACTCTTTTACGATTTAAAGGTAGTAAACTGTGTAAAAAAATATTACACAGATTAAATTTTAAAGTAAAATGTTAAATTATAATAGTATTTAAAAGATAAAATTGTAATGTATAGGATACACGTTTATTATTGATTAACGGTAAAATATTTTATTTTATATATTTTTTTTCTCTTCCACCTATTTTCATAATTAATATATATATATATATATATATATATATATATATATATATATATATATATATATATATATATATATATATATATATATATATATATATATATATATATATATATATATATATATATATATATATATATATATATATATATATATTAATTATTTTTTGTTTCATACATTTTAATTAAATTATTTAAAAATTGTCGAATATTTAAGATAAAGAAATTGTGTCTAAATCCAATATAGAGAGAGAATTTTAACATGAATTTAGAAAAAATTGTTAAAAACGGTGAACATAGATGTTAGTATTTATGTTAGTATTTGTTTACATGTTAATTAAAATAATTTAATTTTTATATAGATGGAAACTTCAATATCCATTGAATTAATTTCAATAAATATTCATCATCTAATAAAATGTATTATTTTATTTTAAAATAAATTTAAAAAAAATAATTAATTTTCGTTAAAAATATCGGTATTCATAAAAAATTTAAGAATGTCAAAAAGTCATATTTATTATCAACTTAAATTCTTTTTAAGTCTAAGTTAATTATAATTATAATTACGTTTAAAGTAAGATTTTTAATAAAATATATGAATTTTAAAATTTGTTAGAATTTTAATTTCACGCTGATTAAAATAATTTAATTTATATATTATTAATTTATTTTTTTAAACTTAAGTCAATTATAATTGTTAAATAAGTAAAAATATTTGATTTTAATTATATTTTTAGTTTAGTCACATTAACGGAACGAACTAAATTTTTAAACTTAACTTTACTTGACGGGCTTGCTTGTCCCTTTTTTTTTTCATGAACGGCCCATTTTATTAAACTTTTGATAAATTTATTTAACAACTTTCATATTGTTTCCGTTACTTTTATAATATTTATATATATTAAATTATTTGAAAGCGTTTACAGCGATATTTTTAAAGAATCATTATTGGTGATGTTAGACATTGTGTTCTCGACGGTTCGGCTAAAGATGAAATACAACAATAATTTAGATAAGTCATTCGTTGTTACAACTAACATATGTGGAGTTCACCTTATACATGAGACAATACTAAAGAACCATATAACAATCGTTGTTGTCTCTAACAAAAGAAAGAAGTTGGCCTATGAAGTAATCAACATAGTCGATCTCAACGTAAGAGGGGACGAAGTCTTGCTAGACAACGAGCTCACCACATCGATCAGGGGAAATACGAGAAACTTAATGTCAGCTCTAGATGGTGAGATTGAAGTCGTCAATCTCGATAACCCGACGCAGTCAGTTCGAGTATACTCTGATCTACCTGTCGGAGTAAAGAAATGACTTATTTAATTCCTAAGGGATAATGTCAATCTTTTCACAATCTCCCCCAAAGAGATGTCACATATACTTGAGGGTGGTGTACCAACAATTAAACATTGATTCTTATGTTTGATATTTGTATCCCAATAAAGGAAGTGGCAACCCTCCATAAAAGTCGATGCAACCATGAAGACACCCATGGTTTGCTCGGTGCCAATTTCATCTCTGAAGGGAGATATATTGGATGACTCTCTAATGTCATGTTAGTTAAGAAGGCTTCGGGGGAAATGAGAGATCTGTGTTGATTACACATACCTCAATTGTGCATGCCCTAAAGATTTATATTCGCTTCCGAACATAGATAGGCTAGTGGATAATTCAGTCGGGTACAAAATTTTGTCATTTATGGATGCATATTTCAGATACAACTAAATACCCATATACAAGTCGGACAAGGAGAAATCACCTTTCATGGTTGAGCAAGACAATTAACAATATAACGTGATGCCTTTTGGCCTGAAGAATGTATGAGCGACATACCAAAGAATAATGAACAAGGTCTTCAAGGAAGAAATTGGTGAAATGTTGGAGGTATACATGGATAACATAATCTTTAAATTTTTCGAAGAGGAACTAAACAACAAGTATCTCATATGTGTGTTCCAAAGAGTATGGAAGTACAATATAAGGCTTAATCTAGATAAGTGTACCTTTGAGGTCAAAGCCGACAAATTTCTAGATTTTTATTTAACGAAGAGAGACATAGAAAAAAATAGTCATGTTAACTCCATTGGTAATATCTTAGCCTTCCATCGAGACAATTTTGTTTTTTTATTTAGTCGTATCTGACGAAGCAGATAGTGTCACCCTTGTTTAAGAGTTAAATTTTACTCAAAGCCCAATTTACTTCATCTCCAAGGCCTTAGCTATACCATAAATACGTTATTAAAAGATAGGGGAGGAAGTGTTGTCGTTGGTGACGACATCCAAGAAGTTGTGATGATACCTTATAGCATATGTCATCGTAGTCTGAAAGATCTACCCTTAAAGCAACAACTTTACCGCCTAGATTTAGCAGGACAACTAACGAAATGGTCTATGAATGTTACAAGTTTGACATCTCCCATGAAGCAAAGAAAGCTTTAAAATCCCAACCATTTGCAGACTTCATCGTATAAATGACTCTAAGTGTATTAGAGGCAGCCCACATATGGTTTATGTTCACAGACGGATCATCCAATATTTGGGGGAGCGGTGATTGTCTCTTTTTGGAGAATGAAGTCGAATTGATGATTCAAGTATCCTTTCGTTTTGAATTCCCCACCA